TGAGTTTCACAGCTCTTTGCGGAATACGCATGATGACCCTGTCACATTTGGAGATCAGTAGCATTCTTCATGAAAGTCGCAAGCGTGGCGTATGCCGCAACCAAAGCAGAGTCCGGGTAGCAAAATCGTCCACAAACTCGTTCTAGTGGAAGTTTTGGTTTCTCTATCTCTGAGGGTAAAACTCCCACAATCGGTTCGGGAAATGACGACTCTAGTCGTGGATTCCACTTGGTGGACTATCCATAACCGGCGGTACAGCGGAGCTTTCGAATTATGTCTCCTCTGCAGGCGCAGTCCGCAATGATCGAGAGGGCGACAACCTGGGACCAGTCTCCCCTCATCATCGCTTCCCTACCAATAATCATCTTGGAGGGAATGGCTTACCAAGGAGGAGGTCTGAAAAGCTGATCGTCTGTCCTCAATATGTCTTCTCTATATGATCAGCGTGGACTGTGCCGCTGAACTAGTAGCGCATTTCCCAGTCTACTGTATTCTCCTTACCCATAATATTGGGTCGGCCCATAAGTAATGACGTTTTTTCTCACCCAAGATATCGCGCTAAAGGTGAGAATTTTTGCCCTTGAGTTTTACACTGTTTTGCTTACCACTAATATTTAAGTGCTCAAACTGAAGTGTCAGGTCGACGAAATTGAGCATTTTCGACAACCTCTCTTTTTCGCCTCTAACTGAAAAGCTCAAACCGAGTTCAACTGAGAGCTTACTGAATATCCTTATTCATGGAGATTCACACCAAGGATGGCGAATCGTTAGAGGTCACGGAATGCTTCCTTATCATCATCAACCACCACCCTCACTTGATGTAAGATGTTCGAAAGTTTAGTGGGTAGGCTCTACTGGCAGTCGCTCTCCAAGAGGGCCTCTCATGCGATGCACATTTACAGAATTCCGAAAACCCAACACTTGACTGCTTGAACCAACTCCAAGCAGTCGTAAGACGCATCTTTGGTATATATATCACAAGTTGTAAACTTCTTCTGTAATTCAAGAGCCGAGAAAAATTGCAAAGAGTTCTTGTGAGAACTTACTTTTGTGCCAACCCCACTTTCAATCTTTCAATCGAATAAAAATTACAAAATTTTAAGAAAGTCGTTAGGTAGGCAACCATTGCCATTTTATAAGAGCAGAAAATTATTTAGGCGTTAGTCCGGAAAGTGCTGCACATGTTTCTGTAATTACTATTTTTGTACATTCATTGCTCATCTTATCCCTGGCGGTCTCACCTAACACCATCCTGCGAAAATGAATTTTTTGCGCTATCTGATGGTATAATTGCCGTTTCACCATTGCTTGATAAACCCCTTTTCCCGAGACTTCTTGAAGCATGTCAAAAGAGCAACTTCTGACGAATTTTCTTTGACTAATGAAATTGCGGGCAATCCGCAGTCGAAGACAGTCTCGACAATTAACCAGGTGTTGTGGGCCAATAGTAGTTGCGAGAAAGCACCGTGCGACAACGGTTCGCAAAGAATTTCGTTCTGGAGATTTCAGCCTTGAAGGTGAACCTCATAGCGGTCGACCTAAAGCAATACCTGTAGAGGATTCGAAAGCGCTTTAGTGGCAGAGACCCATCCAGACTAGTTCGGAGATTGCAGAAAAGACTAGGCTGTTGCCCAAACCCACCGTTGGGGATGGCTTCGTAAACGCAGTGGCAAAAGTGTGCTTGATTCGAACGGTGCTTATTTCGATTAAATCCGATGAGTATTAAGAAAGTTATGATCGTTTGAAGTGAAACACTCAAAACGCTGAGAACTTTCCGGACAACCTAATATCTATCTAACAATGTAGAACCCATTGGGAAGAATAATCATTTTCCATATAAAAATTTGCGTGAGAAGGAAACGCCATTACTTATCGGCCAACAATAGTAGGGTGGATTGGTATGCAAGAGCGAAATCGTGCTAATTTTGTGGCTCAAGAGTGCCTCATAACGGTGGAAGACACCTGGGTCGTCCCCGCCCTAAAATGGACGTGTTGAGCGCTTTTGGACCTTGACTTTTTCTTCTCCAAAATGCTGCCATCGCGAAATGCACCAAACTTCTCTTTAATACTCGAAATCTTGTGACAGTGTTCCTTGCTTCGGACATCGATTTGCCACATTTTTCTATTGCACCAAAGTTTTTCAGTAGTCACCTTAGCTCAGAGATATAATTCACACTGGCAGCGACTATCAAGGATGAAATCAGGTAATGGTATGCACGCCTGAATATGTCCTCTGTGGCGTCTTTTTTTATGATAATTTTCTGAGCGTTGAGTTTTAGATGAGACTTTCAAATAAAACCCCCACAAACTACAAATTGTCAAACTAGAAGGGAGACCTGTCAAGCCACAAGTGTCTACAAACTACACTCCAGCAGCTAAAAAAATCTGTCCTTATCATGGGCAATAAGACTTATACGAATTATTGACTGACTGGAAAATACATGGGATGGGGTTTTCCTATTAGTAACAAAGACATTCACGGAGTTTAGGAGAGCAAGCTCGCATGATGCCCGCCTGAAGACTTTGTTCCAGTTCTGGAGTAGTTCTTCCATCAGATTTTGTGCTGTACCCTCGTCCGCTTTTTCCCAGCATTCATATGTGGCCGCAGTGTATGTCATGGCGATGTTTGTCGGTGTAGATCTCCCTCGATTTTTCGCGACTAGATAAGCGTGATGTAAAGGGCGCGAGTTTGAGAAAGTGTGCCAATCAGCGTGACCAGTATTGTATGTCACTGACAATGTTTGTCGGTGCAATGCAGTGTTCATTACACGCTCTGGAATTGAAACTATCGAGAAAGAGTCAACAAAAGTCGACAATATGGTTTGAGACCGGGCCTTATAGGTGCCACTAAAAAACCACGTGTGACTGATTGAAATCGGGGATATTTCTGAGTACGAAATGGTAAGATGCAAAAAAGTATAAATAAATTTGTTATGAATTAATGAATTACAGTAGATCCACTGCTAATGTTTCAGCTCTCCCTAGCCACTCCACTGGACTATGTGCTGCTTGTTTTGGCACTTTGGCGTCGTTCATTCATGGCGCCGGATTTTCCGTGCTCGGTATCTTTCTCGGTGGTATGACGACTGTCTTTCTCAGAGCCCAGAATTCCGAATTTGTCCTGGGTACGACAAATCCTGATCCGAAAGGACTGCCAGGGATCACTAAGTGAGTCTCTCTATGAATTTATGATAATTTGGTACAATCGGCTAAGGCCAGGCAGTGTATGTCATCGGCGATGTTTGTTGATACTTTCACTCAGCTGCATCTTACTGCCATTACTTAGGATAGCGTGATTCTCAGAATTATTGTTAGCGCTGGCCTATCATAAGTCGATACAGTAAGCTGGCGGACAGACAATGTATGTCATCGTCGATGTTTGTTGGCGGGCGGCTTCAGTTGGCTGAATATACTGCTGCTAGTCGAAACCAGGACCCAGGAAAGGTGGGGGTTTCTGAGAAATGTCTTTGGATGTCGACTTTCTCGATTTTTCCTGTTCAGGGTGCCTTATGTACCGCTCTCCCACTTACCTACCCTCCCCCCCGTCCCTTCAACGGCACCTTTTTGAGAAGAACGTGCAAAAATTTCTGGAGAACCGGTATGAATGGGGTAAAAAGGCTGATGAGAAAACTCAGTAAGATGGTCTATAGGATAGGAAAGAGGGGTTCTACCCGAAAAGGACTTTCTGCGGGGAGGGGGTCATATTTTGCGAAATTCCTCCCTAACTGCAAGACGCGCTCTAGCTAGGGAGAGAGGGGGGGCGCTCTAGCTAGGGAGCGTATCTCTTCTGCTAACTGTTTGATTGCATACCAATCTTAGTCGATGAAACGGGTTGCGCTTCGGAGAGTGAACGATGTATGTCACTGACGATGTTTGTTGGCAGACTACTTAAGCTACACGTGACTGTCATGAGCTAAGCGATCGTGATCTTCCCATATGATCCCTGCTACGCTCGAGTAGATCATTCGACTGACCCGCTATATTTTTAAGGGCCGAGTTCGACAGAGAAGTCACTATGTACTGCTTCTACTACCTTGGATTGGGTTTCGCTATATTTGCAACTTCTTATGTACAGGTAAAATTGTTGTAACCGGTGTTATCGATTAGTTGCCCATTTGACGCGTGCCGAGAATCCACTGTACGTATTTGGTGGGAAAGCATCCAATGGCTGGATGCTATGCTGTCTATTTAAATCCTGCGGAAATTCGCAATCTGTCTCAAAGTCGTAGTCCACGTTCATCTCATGGGTGGAGTCAGGCCTACTACTGACCTTGGCCTACTTTTACTGGGACTTGCCTTTTCGAGCCTCTTTCCCATGACGGTGAAATGGAAAGGTGTGGTATGTGACAATGAAATCGTACACCGCGCTGTTGGGCGCCCGCCGTGTCCATCGCCGCGCCCATCGCCGCGCGCGGCGGAGCGGCAAATCACGATTCTCTTGCTCGTCTCCCTTGTCAACGAAAGGGGCGGGTAGGCCTGACTCCGCCCTCTCGACCAGCATGGACTGCGCCCCAAAGTTGAAAAGCTGGCGATGATAGTTGCCTTCCAAGCTATTATTCTGAAGTTTCTATTTATGGATTTTTGTCAGATTGCCTGTTGGGAGACGTTCGCGGAACGAATTACCCACAAATTGCGCCAAATCTACCTGAAAGCCATTCTTCGGCAACAGATGTCATGGTTCGACGTCCGACAAACAGGAAATCTCACGGCTCGTCTCACTGAGTGAGTCAGGAAAGAATAATTATCGATCGGTGGTAAATTTTTCAGACACCTGGGTGTTTTTATTCAGTGATCTCGAACGTGTTCGTGAAGGTCTAGGCGATAAACTCTCATTGTTTATCCAAATGATGTCCGCATTTGTGGCCGGGTTCGGTGTAGGATTTGTGTATAGGTCAGTCAGTTCTTTTGATCGAACTCCGCCCACAAAAGGACGAACTCTCCTGTTTCAGTTGGTCGATGACGCTTGTGATGATGGTCGTAGCGCCGTTTATAGTGTTTTCAGCAAACTGGATGTCACGAATTGTGGCAACTAGGTGGGTCAGATTTTGCTGAACTTCGATCTTGTAAAAGCTGGCGGTTTGTGCTAGATGAAGTCATCTTATTAGAAGAGGTTATTGTGTAGCTAGCACGTCCAATTGGGGGCCTATTAGCCATTTGAAATTGACTCCGAATGGGCTACGTTGTTACTTTGGCTCTGTTTTGATCGAGAACTTTTATCAGCGTTAAAAAAACCATTTATAATCACGTAATGTGCGATTTATGGGACACTAATGAACAATAATCGTTCATGAGGATCGTTAGTCGTGAATCAGTACTTTTCCGCGGCGCAGTTCGGCGACGGGGGGGGCATTTTGTACTATCATTGCTTCCTCAGTTCCGGTTTACATGTCTCACTCTGGCGAAACCTGTGAACTCTTGTGAAGCTGGAGCAAGGTCGTCAAGCCATCATGTTAAAACCTGTCAACTCGAGAAGAGGCTGTCTAGATAGGTCGACACGTCGATGGGAAGTAGCAAAAGTGCAAAATGCCCCCCCCCGTCGGCGAACTGCGCCTTAGTTTTTTCTTGGCACTCGCCTTCTGTCCTGTATCGTGGTGGCGTTTCATGCGTAGTTGGCACACAAAGATTTAAGAATAATGATGAATTATTGGCAAAACGCCTTGTCTCTAGGGTGCAAGGTGTAAGGGGCCTTCAAGTTTCATTCCGTTGTGAAGGGTATGCCACTCACAAACTTCAAATATGCACATAATAGTTTCAGGTACAAACAAACCCACAAGTCGGCTTCTTGTGCCTCAGGTTGCACGTGCTACCACAAACCAACTTGTGCTCATCAAGCATCTAAAAAAGTAACATTGGGGCGCAATTGCAAGTGTAACGCGTCGACGCACATTATCGCGAAGTCTAAACGATGCCTTGAGTGGCGTCTCATAGAGACTACTACTGCTACTGATACCTATCACTTGTGACTCTTTTCAGGACCCAGGTCGAGCAAGAGACCTACGCCGTCGCTGGCGCGATAGCGGAAGAAACCTTCTCATCGATACGAACCGTGCACGCGTTATGTGGCCACAGACGAGAACTTACAAGGTTTTGACATTTCGCCATCTTACCGTAAACCCGTAATTGAGCGGTCTTTAGGTTCGAAGCCGCATTGGAAAAAGGACGTCAGACGGGCCTTGTCAAATACTTCTACATGGGTATTGGTGTCGGATTCGGTCAAATGTGCACCTATGTGTCTTACGCTTTGGCATTTTGGTATGTAACACGGACTAGTCCCTCAACTTAGCCCTTGGGGCTGAATTTGCCCTCTAGGACTTATTGACTGCTTTTAGGTACGGTAGCACGCTGATCATCAATGATCCAATGTTGGACCGTGGTCGCATTTTCACCGTGAGTTCCTCTTTCTGCCTTCGAGACTTTGAAGGCTTCAATCAATATCTATCTTTTGCATAGGTGTTCTTCGCAGTAATGTCCGGCTCATCAGCTCTCGGCACTTGCCTTCCTCATCTCAACACCATATCAATTGCCCGAGGTGCTGTTCGAAGTGTACTGACAGTGATCAATAGCGTAAGTTAGAGAGGGCGGAGCCTTCGCAGGAGGCGGTCTACTTAACTTCTGTTTCATTTCAGCGACCAAAAATTGATCCATATTCATTGGATGGAATTGTACTGAACAATATGAGGGGATCTATTCGTCTGAAGAACGTGCATTTCTCTTACCCTTCAAGAAGTACTATACCGGTAAGCAAGAGTTGGCTCAGTATGGCTTGCTGGGGGCATTTTGCTGGTTCCAGTTCCCATCCAGTGCCAACATCTACGGTCCAGAGCTGTAAATTCCTGTGAAGTTATACAGCTGCAAGAGCTTCATAAGATTGGTCTCACCAAGGCGAGGCGTGTAATTTGTCATAAACTAGCGAAATAAACAGTGCAAGTGCGAAATGCCCCCCCCCAAGCCTAACTGCGCAGCAAGTGTTCTTCTATCTCAGAAGACTGAGTAAATTGCATCGGTTTAGATATTGAAAGGCGTGTCACTGCAAGTGAAAGCTGGTCAAAAAATTGCTTTGGTGGGCGCAAGTGGTTGTGGAAAGTCCACAATCGTCAATATGCTGCTAAGGTTTTATGATCCAACCAGAGGGAAGGTAAGCGAATTTTCGTATCTTGGGGAATACGGCTCGAGAGGCAGAGTGGACCTCGCGATTCTCGCCTGATTCTCTTTCTAGTTGTCGGTCTGTCTGTCATCCTGTCAATCTGTCTGCCAGTTGGTCAACTTGTCTGTTTGTCAATTTGTCAGTCATTCTGTCTGTATGTCAGTATGTCGGCCTGATTGTCACTCAGTCAGTCAACTTTCTTATCATTTTTGTTCCCAGAAATACTCATTAAGGTGACCATAGACGATATTGACGTCTGCGATCTCAATGTCCACAGGCTTCGCGAACAAATTGGCGTTGTTAGCCAGGTAAGTGTATTTGAAAATGATGGCGCGTCTTGCTATTACACTTAGCGAAATACGACTTACTTGTCTAAATAGTTCTCCCTCAGATATGACCTTCCGCCCACTTGCTCATCCTCCATCCTACCCACCTCTTCCTGAGTTTCCCCAGTCTCCTACCACATTTTTGGAGTTTTTTTCTCGAAATTTCTTCGCGGTGTCCCCGAAAAACTGCCGATGGGGAGGAGGTAAATAGCATGTATTAAACGGGAAAAATCAAGAAAAAAGTCAGCAACCAAAGGCGTTTTTCCCAAACGCAGCCTGAGGCCCCCTCGCTGGATCCCCAACTCTCGTCGTGCCCTGGTAATGTAGTGGCGACTGGCGCGCTCAGCACACGCGCGATCCAGAGTCAAATGATGGAATGGCTTCCGCTCAGACCAATCATGCTTTTAACCCTCCGAGGACGGTGAATCGCTACCAGATTAGTCTGGGAGGACAAGAACACTGACTCGATTGGCCCCCACGAGTCATTATACAGGCCACTACGATTCTGTATGGAAGTAGGAGGAGTGCCACATTCCAAAAATGTGGGTGATCAACGGCGAACAGTTTATCCTATTCATCTTAGGGTTCCCCAAATGGGTGATCTTAGATGGAGTTCCTACCCGAAGTTAGCAGGGATTAAGTCCTCTCCTCTGGATCTATTTTATATCGTTTCAGGAACCGGTACTTTTTGACGGCACATTGTTTGAGAATATCAGAATGGGTTATGATAACGCCACCATGGAGGAGGTGCAGGAAGCTTGTCGTGTTGTAAGTGGTACTATTTCAAAAACAGCACAATTTTCACATGAATTAGAGGCGATTAGATGGCGGTGATGGTGAGATTTTACTCTGCCGTGAGCCAAGCATTTCTGACTTCAGTTTCCTTCTGAAATATGCAATTTGTGAGTCATGGTCGCGAGCAGTCGCGAGCGCGGCTATGAGGCATCATCGCATGAAGTTAATCGCTTTTTCTCCTACTATTGACCGTTGCTCTTGTTTCATTTCTCACTCATTTGTTCTTCTGGCTAACTCCTACGTTATCGGAAGAGCAACTGTAAG